CATAATCCATTTGGAATTACTTTCTTCAATTAAAAGGTTATATCCTGCCAGATATAGTAGTACACACTTGAAATCCCAGTTACTCAGGAGGCTGAAGGAGCACAAGTTCAAGGCCAGCCTGGGCAACTTGGCCAGAACCTGTCTTAAAATAAAAAAGGGCTAGGAATGCAGCTCAAAAGTAAAAGTAACCCCACCTAAGAATATAACTTGCTTAAATTAATTATTTGTGTAAATTTTAAAACTTCTGTACCGTCAAAATACACTATAATATAGAGACAAATGACAGAATTAAGAGAAAAACAGATGCAACACATACAGGGGTAGTAATTTTTTTAAATATTATTTTTTAGTTTTTTAGGTGGACACAATATTTATTTTATTTTTTATGTGGTGCTGAGGATCGAACCCAGTGCCTCATGCATGCCAGGCGAGCACTCTACCTCTGAGCCACAACCCCAGACCAGGAATAGTAATTTTAGCAATAAAAAAAAAAAAATTAAAACAACTAAAAATTAGTAAACTATTGATAGAAAAACTGACAAATAAAAATTAGCTAGCAAGTAAAAAGGCAATGAACATAAGATGTTCAACCTAATTACAAAGTAATGACATGTAAGTTAAATTAACAACATACTTCACAGCCTCAAACTGACAAAAATTAAAAGCTGATAGCTTACAATGCATGTGGGTGTGTGCTGACAATAAAGATTACTGCACCTTTTGAAAAATAAAAATTTTAGAAAGTAACAATATGTATGTATGTATGGTACTGGAATTAAATGAAGGGATTCTCTACCATTAAGATATATCCCCAGCCCTTCTTATTTTGAGACAGGGTCTCACCAAATTTCCTAGGCTGGATTCACTTGAAATTTTCAAGTCTCCCAAAACTGCTGGGATCAGAGGCATGCACCACCCCTCAATTAAATTTATACATACTACAATATGTCTATGTCTACAATATTAAATGAAAATAAGCAAAGTGCAGGGTAATAATGTATACCATGATCTCATATTTGTTCAAAAAAAGAGAGAAAGGAAAAGGAAACTAATAATAAATTTTTTAGAAAGTTCTATTTATGTGCCTAATTTCCTAAATGAATTCATACACCTTAGTTTTAAATACACCTACTGATCCATTAGAGGTCTCACCCACAAGATATTATGGTCTGATAATGTCTTTAATCTAGGTACATTAAAGGCTTCATTAGATATCAGCTAATACAATCCTCTGGAATCTTCTAAATGAAAAGATAATAAACAATAAAAACTACTTTTAAGGGAAAAATGTTCAACAGTTTTTTTTTTATGCCAAAATAAAATACTTTTAATGTTGCAATTTCAAACATAGAAAACCACCGAAGATCGTCTTCTCTGATAGCAGAAGGTATTTCAGTCATTTCACTGGATAATATGATTATGCTAGTTATATAAACACAAAAAAGGGACAGACATTAAACCAATTTCTTTGTGTAAGAAATTGAATTTTCTCAGAATGATGCTCATTCTTAGCAACAAATGCATTGATATTACAACTTAAAAATTCTATTCAACTAAATCTTAGTATAATATAAAGTTTCAAGCAGCCTGACTTAAAAGAACACTTGATTTGGAACCGGACATACCTGAGTTCCAATCCTGCCACTTACTAGGGATATGGTCTTGGGCAAGTTACATAATCTCCTAGCCTATTCCTGGGGCTGCAAAAATAGTTTTCTGTGGTGTTCTTGGAAAATAAAGAGCATCACAGATGAAAAATGTCTAGTGATAAAGTCTATCACAATATGCCTTCTTCTTGCCTTTCTTTCCAAAGAGGTCAGATTACTAACTGGCAATGTGTTTTTCAGTACCACCTTTTAGAAGACTTGGAAAACAAAAAAGAAAAAAGCAGGCACAGTGGAGTACACTTGTAGTTAGTTACTCAGGAGGCTGAAGGTTGAGGCAGCAAGATCACTCAAGCCCAGGAAACTCTGGTCAGCCTGAGCAATATAAACCGCTTTTCCTTTAATTAAAAAAAAAAAAAAATCAAGACTACTAAGCTGATATAAAGTTATACATTCTATATGCCATGTGTTTGCATTTTCCTTTTTGAGGGGAGAGGGAGTACTGGGGATTGAACTCAGGTACATTTGACCACTGAGTCACATCCCCACACCTATTTTTTATTTTATTTAGAGACAGGGTCTCATTGAGTTGCTTCGCATCTCCCCATTGCTGAGGCTGGCTTTGAACTCACAATCCTCTGTCTCAGCATCCTGCATTTTCCTTTGTTTTGTATTTGAGACTCCTTTTCTTGGATTATTTTAGAGATTTATTTCAATGAACGCTTACTATTTTTGATATAATTATTTATTTTGATTCATGCTTACTTATTTCTGGTGAAATTTTCCTTAAAAAAAATCGTTAAGCAAGCACATTATGTTCTACCTGTTGCATTCTACATCTCCAAATAACTTTCTTTTTAAAAGCATTCATGTTGGGTCTGTAGATACCACTTTCAAATATTATGGGGGAAAAAAGTGTTAGGTAAGGCCTTAAGTCATTTTAACCCACTAAAATGTGTCTAAGAAATTAACACCGCAGAATTCTAAATAGCAATACAAAAAAATTTTAACTTTCAAGTACTTCTAAGAGGAGTCAATTTTTTTCCATGACTGGAGGACACTAAATGGATCCAAATGCAAAGAAAAGCATACTGTCCAGCTTCTAATATTTAAAGTGAAGATTTTTCATGACACAAGACACATATTAATAAAATCAACAGAATTAACTCATTGTATTATTAATTGATTTTATTTTATTAGGTAAATAAATTGAATAATTTCAAATTATACTATAGAATTGAGGATTTACGGTATTTTAGCCTTTTTCATATTTAGTTGAACTTCAATCAAATTTATTTGATGATTTTTGATACAATGCTCTTTAAAGTGTCTTCTAGTCTCTTGCAAAAAGTCTATCAAAATTGCAAACAGCTACTATATGGAAAATTACAATTATTTTCCAGTACATTTTTCCTAAAAAAAAAAAAAAAAATTAATCACCACCCACAACAGTTTCTGGCTGTTTACCATATTTACTCCTTTGTTTAAATTACACTGCTGAAAGTAATTTTTTACTTGCTTTTCAAAACGTGTTTAAGTTGATGGTGAGGTGAAAGAGTATGCAAAAACCACTTCACATTATTTTCACACATGCAAATTACAACTTCTTGAGGTGATTTTAAGTGCCATATACATTTTCAAATCAAAATTCATCACTGTCATTCTTTAAAACTCCCTTTCCATCCTGAGCTCTTCCAAATGTCAAAGTTCTCTACTAATCGAGAGTACCTATAATCCGTTCTTTCTACTGGTCTTTCACAATTTTACACTCCAGCTTTTTGTATTGCAGAGCCCTTCGCCCATAAAAGCACCACTAACTGTTTAAGGTACTTAACTGTACAGTTAACTTTCCGCATTATCTTACTTTTCCTTTCATAAACTTCACTATAATTTCCTTTCAGCTTTCCTTCATCTTCTAAATTCACATCAATACTATCGCGAAGTAAAGCGTATATACAACCCTATCAGGAAGCCCAAATTAATCATTCAGCACAACTAATAATTTAAATACCCGGATGCCTCATTTAGGTACTCGGTGGAAGCTTTTTACTTGATTTCCTGTCCTACCAGGCCAGCCTGCCTCCAGCGTTAATTGTAAGATCCCTTGGTGCCCCTAGCACAAGTGCAATTCGCTATAGTGTATTTCTTTTTACTCCCCACCATTCCTGGTGTCTCCTTCCATTTCTGCGCATCTTAGTGAACCTCCCCCCACCCACGTTGTCCCCGAGATTCTGTACCTAGGTGTCCATTTCTCAAATTAGAATACTCCTCGCCTGATATTGGCGGGGCTTGGTTGTACTACTTCTAAGAGAACGCGCGAGCAGTTCTCTCTCCTCCAGAAGCACCCGCTCCCCACTGAGTTCGGTCCTCTCTAGCTCGCTCTCCTTGGAATGCCTACTTCGGGGCAACCCCTTAGCTCCAAGAAGCCCAATCTTGCAACCTCTGCCCCTTGACCTGGAGCCCAGCCGGCTACTCAAGCTAATTCACCTAGTTCTTGGAGCTTGTGCTCTCGATGCCCCCAGTCCCAGCTCTCCTTGAAACCTCTCAGCTCCGAAGCCAGACCCCAGATTAGATGAAAGCCCGCTGCTCCAGTTGCAGTGCCTCCCCGGCCGGCCCCTTCCACACCACTCAGCCCATAGCGGCTCGGCTCCTCACCTAGCTTCGACCGGGACTCCTCCAGTTTCTGAATCTGGTTCTCCAAGAAGAGCATCGCTACCGCGAAGGCCACCACCGCCAGCAGCTGCAACTTGGGCGGCATCATAATCCTGAGGAGCCCCATGAAACCCGCTGCTCGGGATCAAGACATACCGCGGGGGGCGGGGAGCGGGGCCCCGGAGGCGAGGGAGACGCCGGGAGGAGTCCACGGAGCCGGGAGAGAGGCGAGGAGAGCGCCACAGGGAGAACCACCGCAGCGACCCCCCTTCTCGCCACTCGGGTCCCCCGCCCCCAGGCGCCAAGCACCAACGCCGCCGGTGCCCGCTTCTCCACAGCCGCCCCCTCCAAAAGCCCGCGCAGCAAACAGCGCGAAGCGGCTGCCGGGCGCTCTACAGCCTCAATCCCGGACCCCCACGCCCGCCTGCTTGCCCGCCCGCCTCCTTCTCTTCGTTCTTTCCCTCCCTCCTTTGCTCGCGGCCGCGCGTTCCTCCACCAGCGCTGCGGCTGCGACTGCGCTGCCCTCGGCCCCGCCCCCTCCCATCCCCCTCCGCCAACTCGCGCACGCATCGACGTACGCTGCTCGGCAACCAGAGGCCCCGCCCCCTCCTCCCATTCGGTAGTGGGCATTGGCCCGAAGAACCCCAGCGTTTCGCTGTCGATTCGGTTTACGGTTGAATTCTTCTGCCACAGGGCTCACCCAAGACGGCATTCCATTGGGTGAACCTAGAGAAGGAGGCAGGACTGAAACTGGCGAAGGCGGGGTTTCTTGGCTTCTCGACGAAGTGTCGTGAATGAAAGGATGGAGCCCGGAGAAGCGCAGAAGTGGGAAGTTTAGGAAAATGCCTGATTTGAGTAATTGAAAGGAGACAATAACTGTCTTTATATTTGATTACCTTTAACCTTTCATATGTCTTTAGTTAATATTTGTCTCTTCAAAATAAGAGATTTGATGGCAGCGGCCTTCCGTGGCCTGTTTTCGATCAGGCTCTGAAGTGGGTGCCCCTAGCCGAGGGGTCCTCTGGGTAGCCAAAGATTTACGATTGATGATAGCGATGGCGGCTGGGCGAGGTGGATGGCTTGGGCCAGCTTTTGGGCTGCGGTTGCTGTTGGCTACTGTGCTTCAAGTGGTGAGTGTAGGTCACCTCCGCGACCGCCTTAGGGCGAGTAGGAGGGATTACTAATGAGGAAGACAAAAATATTCGGTCCGGTTCGGGGGCCTCACTTAAGAAAAGGAGGGGGGCAGTTTGGGCTTCCTTAGAACAGTGGCCGGAATGCGACGTGGCTTAATTCCCGGTTGAGTTTGTAGAGGCCGTATTGTCCCGACAAGTCTTGGGTGGTTTTCTCTTACGTAGCTCTAGCTAAAAAGGATCACGGTGGGGAGGGGAAGCAGTAAAGCTTGGGAAAGAGTAAAGTTTTTTTTTATTATTATTTTTTAAAGTAGGCAGAAATGCAAGGAACTTACTGCAAGGCTCTAAAATCTTAAAAGGAAAAACCAGCAGGATTTTGCTAACGGTGAACACCTTCTATTACTTTCTCTTTCAGACTCTACTCCTGCGTCCTCGCGTATACACCAAGCAGTGTAATCAATTTTTTTCATTTTTTTCCATTAACAAAGTTCGTGAGTTCTTAATCTTTGACGACCCAATTTTTACTTATTTTATTGCTTACATAACAACTAGACATTGGCTAATTCCTCAAAGAGAAGTGTACATGAATAATGAAACTTAAGGCACTGTTCTGGCGAATTTGGTATTTATTATTTCAGTTTAATTCTTAAGGCATTCTCTACTGAGCCTGCTGAAAAGTTTTCTCCTAGGACAAAACTTTCTTTTATCCAGGGTTTGTGGAAGTTGGTCACCACTTTGTTTGACCCAGGAATTTGGAAGCAACTTCCTGGGTTTTGCTTTTGCCATCTTGAGGAAAAGGTGGATTCTTCTCTAATTAACAGTCCATTACAATACTTTTATTCAGGCATTTTGGTGCTTTAAAATTACTGAACATTGTTCCCTGAACTTTGTACTCTTCAAGGTTTTTTCCCCATCTTAGGTCATTTTAATTCATCCTCATCACCACAGAAGGATAAAAAGGAATATTTCAAGCTTCCTTCTCCCAATTCACCATCTCTGGCTTTCAGTTAGCTGTGGCTGTGTAACTGTCCTCCAAATGTTAGTGGTTTAAAAACAATGATTTTGCACCATTCTGTGTTTTCAACTAGTAGGTTAGTAGAACTGAACAGTTTGAGGGTCATCATCATTCATAGTTGGTGCTGTCAGCTGGGACCACTTTGTTCTTCTCTGTGTGAGCTATCATCCACCAAAAGCTAGACCAACTTTTTTTCCCTTTCATTCTCTTGACTGTGCTCCAAAATAGCAAAACCTTAAAATGCCTCCTTGGCTTGCCTTGGAAATCACATGTATCTTTTCCACCATGTAGTACTTGTTAAAGTAAGTCACAAGACCAGTTTACTTTTCAGGAAATAAACTGTCTATGTAGGAAGAGTGTCAGAGTCACATTTCAAAGAAGAATACATACTCATACAGGAATTTATGGCCATTGAACAATGTACCACAGAGTGACCTTCACAAAATCCAAGCCAAAAATTGGTCCATTTGAATTCACTTTCCTTTCACTCTGAATCCAGTTAGTAATAAAGTCCTTAAATCTTTATAGCTGTTTTGTGTAGAAAGTATTGCTCATTGCTTTATCAATGAGGAAATTAATGCAGGGAGGATAGCTTGCCAAAGTCACACATCTTGTAAATGGTGAAGCTGGTACCTAAAACCAAAAAGTTTTCTAGATTTCTAATGTGTTCCTACTTCCCCTACCCCATCTCTTTTCTTATCCTTCTCCTGCTGAATACGTCTGTAGATAAGTTAATGTTATTTCATATAGTCCACATAAACAGGTGCTAAGCTCTTAAACAGGAATTATTTTTTCCTTACAAGGAAATTCCTTTTTAAAAACTAGTAAATGTTTATTAAAAGATATGTGATACATGTGTCATGAAAATGATGTATCTTGCTGGGCACAGTGGCACACAACTGTAATCCCAGTAATTCTGAAGGCTGAGGCAGAAGGGTGGCAAATTCAAGGCCTGCCTTGGCAATTTAGCAAGACCCTGTCAAAATTTTTAAAAAGGGCTCGAGATACAGCTCAGTGGTAAAATGCTCCCAAGTTCAACCCCCCACCAAAAAACATATATATATATATATATATATATATATATATATATATATATATATATACATACATATATACACACACACACACACACACATTTGTCTACGGTTTTGCTAAATTAAAAAAGTGTTCAATTTATAAGAAGAAAGCTGTAGGAGAGATGGGAAGAAACAAAAACTCATGTAGGGTTATAAAGTTCAAAACACTGAAAAACTTTACACCAGTTAACATTTCAGTAACTCATCTCCAAGCGTAACTTTATTACGCTTTAATAACACCATTAACCTCTTTTTGGAAGTTTTATAATGTAAATGTAGAATTGTGATTTATTCCTCATCTGTATTTTCAGGTGTCTGCTTTCAGGGCAGAATTTTCATCAGAGGCATGCAGAGAGTTAGGCTTCTCTAGCAACTTGCTCTGCAGCTCATGTGATCTACTTGGACAGTTCAACCTACTTCAGCTGGATCCTGATTGCAGAGGATGCTGTCAGGAAGAAGCTCAATTTGAAACCAAAAAGGTACTGCTTTCTATTATACCTTTTCCATTAGATGGTTTAGTTGGGATAACTTGACTAAATTGCTTAATACACTTAAGCATAAAGAATTTTCTTACCTTTGCCTGGCTCACTAGCACAATCAAAGTCATTACAAAGGAAATGTATGGTTATATAATGGGTTCCTATTCGTTTTCCATTCAGCAGACAGGGGAACAGAGTCACGATAGCATGCCCGGATCCCATTCCTCTCCAGTCAACTTCTGACCAAATGAAGACACAAGAATAATCAGTTAAATACTTTTGTGCATTTGCAGCAAGAAGTCAGTTTTATGATGAAATTTGATATGAAAGCAAGGCACATGATGTAGGCAATGAGTTATAATTCTAAATGTGGTTAAGAAGGCTGAGGATATAGCTCAGTGGTAGAGCACCTGCAGCATTTGTAAGGCCCTGGGTTCAGTCCTCTGTATCACAAAAAAAGGAAAAAGTCCTTAACAATCTTTTACTTACATACCCATTATTAATAATTCTGAATACCTAGACTTACTTTAAAATTTGAAAACTGAGTCAAGGATAGGTAGTTCTATCCAGCAGAATTTTTGTTTTGAGTGTACTGTTCAAACAAATAGTGAACTTGCTCAAGTTTTAAATCTTTTCATTAAAATCCTTAGATTTCTTAAAATTTTAAAGTAGTCTGAAAAGATCATTTGTTTTATCCAAATAAAGCTGATTTGGGGTTAGGTGTGGTGGTATACATCTATAATCCCAGCGGCTCAGGAGGCTGAGACAGGAGGATCATGAGTTCAAAGCCAGCCTCAGCAAAAGCAAGGTGCTAAGCAACTCAGTGAGACCCCCGTCTCAGAAATGAAATACAAAAATGGGGCTGGGGGTATCGCTCAGTGGTCACGTGCCCTTGAGTTTAATCCCCAATATTCCCCCCAACCCCCACCAAAAGAAAAAAAAAAAGGAAAAGAAAAAACTGAATTAGTGATTGGTGGCATAGGTCAGTGGTAGAGTGCTTGCCTGGCATGCACAAGGATCCATGTTCAATTCCCTGCACTACTCCTCCACTAAAGAAAAAGATCTCTGGGTTGAGGAAATATTTAGCATCTTTCTACTAAGTTTCCTCTTAGTATTCTCTTTCACTTGTATATGCTGAATTTTATTTAAGGTGTTCATTTATATAACTTTGAAACAGGATATTTTCTCATGATTAGATAGTTATGGTTTATTTCTAACATTAAATACATTTTTGTAGTTCTAAAAGAAAAACAAGCAGCCAGGCACACACCTATAATCCCAACTACAACGAAATCTGAGGCAAGAGGATCATAAGTTCAAGTCCATCCTGGGCAACCTAGTGAGATACTCTCTCAAAATAAAAGAGAAAAAGAGCTGGAAATACAGCTCAGTGGTAGAGCATTCCAGAGTTCAATCCTCAGTACTGCAAAAAAAAAAAAAGACAGGCCAAGGAGCTTTTTAAATGTAAGTATTCAGTCCAGCCAAGAGTTAACATGTGACTTCTCAGTTTCTCAGTATCATAAACCTGAAATTCTCAGTGTCCCGTAGATTCCGCTTGATGTTTAGATTCACATAGTTTATATTTAGATTTCCATATGTGTAAATTACTCTTTATTGCATATAAATAAAATCTAAATAACAAGTATTAAAACTTGATTTTAAATACATTTAAAACAGGATTTAGCTTTTGATGAGATACCCATATGGACAGATTATTTCTTGTGCCCGTACTCAGACTCAGTAAACAGAGTTAGGATAGTAGACATGCTTTTTTCAGAGGTGGCTCCAGCTTCAGCTTTAGCCCCCAGCTTCAGCCATTTAACACCCAGTCTTTTCTCTAGGCACTTTTATATGCAGTCCCAACTAAAGAAGACACACTGCCAACAGTTTACGTAAGGGGGCACATGTTGACAAGTTAACTTTTATGACCTTGAGTATATAGGCTGAATCAGTGTGGTTTGGGCCTTGACTAACCCTAACAGCCAGTTCCTAGCCCTGACTACACACTAAAAACATAATAGCCTGGAAGCTTCAGCAAAGGGAGCCTAAAACTATAGCCATTTGGGGCCTGACCCAACATTACTGAAAGAAACTTTTTGAGTTATCATCTCTTCCTTGTTCTATGGACCATACTACTCAGTGATTATTCATCAGGACCCTAAATTTATAACAAACCATCTGTATCCCCCCACATTCCCTTAAAATTAATGGCAAATTGAGAAGTTCTACCCTTTGATATACAGTATGTCTAAGCTATAAAACAAGTGCATATAAGAACTATTTATTGTTTTTTTCTCAGTACTCCTTCATATACTCAGGTTTTATGTGGTAGTTTTAGTGAAATCAAATTTAGATCACATGGTTTTAAAACTAATTATATTATTCAATTTTCATTATTAATTGAGCTATATGTTGTATCTAGATACCTTTCAACAATAACAAAAGGCAAGTAGTCTGCCAGTTACTATATGTCAAACTAATTACAAGCTAAAGTATTTAATGTCTAAAAACAAGTGAGTCTATGTCCTAATAATTATTTTGTGTTAAACCTTGTGTTTTTTTCCCTTTATTCCTAACCCCTAGTCTCCAAGACATATTTCTTTTAATCATTTAGTAGTACCTTTTGTACAAAAATTAGTGATTTTTTTTTTTAATAACTCTGGTGGAACCAACAGAAAAAACACTTAGAATTATGCTGCAAGTATGAACATACAACATGTTGGGCAAGCCTCCATTTAAAAGCAAACCACTTTCAAAAATAATTATACTTGATTTAATATGTGTAGTACTTCTCCAATTATTGACACTTGATCATAGGTAACAGAATACATATAATAAATATTCTTCTATTTCACACAGGCTTAAGGCTTAATTTTTAAGTAATAATTGAATTTAGTCCTCACTTAATCATAGTAAAAATCTGTAGTGTATAATCCTAGTGTCTTATATCAGAAATGCTAAAAAATACTTAAACATGGCTCTCTGTGTGAATCATTGAGAATATAATTTTTTAGAAGAAAAATTATAGTTTACATAAGAATGTTTTAGCCTGTTGTATTATAAATAAATGTAACTAGAATTTTTTATTCTTACATAGTTGAATGCACTGAAGGTCTACCCAAGGATAAGGCCTATCATTTTTAGTAATGGTCACTCATTTTACAGTTTCAATTTAGCCTTTGGTAGCCGGCAGCATAAAATTGTTGAAAAATATATATTCCTAATAAAAGCGTAAACTGTCCAAAATCCTTTATCATTCTTCCAGTAGATATTGCATTATTTTTTTAATTTGATCTTCTTCTCTTCCCCATTTTGATCATAAAGGACCTACTTTACCATAAAGGATCTACATTTCATATACTACTTAGAATGAAGTTTTGTGGGGGTTTTGTTGTTGTTGTTGTTGTTATGGGGCATTGAACCTAGGGACTCTCAACCACTGAGCCACATCCCAAACCTTTTTGAGAAAGGGTCTCACTAACTTTCTGAGGCTGGCTTTGAACTTGCAATCCTCCTGCGTAAGCCTCCCAAGCTGCTGGGATTACAGGTGTACACCACCACATCTCTCTAGAATGAGATTTTTGTAATCTGTTTTACTATTGTTTTAACTAGTTTTGCTCACAAGTACATGCCTAGGTATGGTTTGTAAACAATAATAAGATTATTAATTATAAGGAAAAAAACAATTTGTAGCTTAAAGAAAAAATGTAAACTAATAAAAGTATTTGAATTTTAGTGCTATTTCTGTACATTTAGTGTTATGGATTGGATGTGAGTTGTCCCTAAAAGTTCATGTGTGAGGCAGTGCAAGAAGATTCAGAGGAGAAATGATTGGGATTATGTGAGCTTTTAATCCAATCAGTGAATTAATACCTTGATGATATTAACTGAGTGATAACTGAAGGCCCGTTAGGGGGGACTGGAGGAGGTAGATCATTAGGGGCATGCCTTTGGAGTATATATTAGGTATATGGCAAGTGGAGTCTCTTTCTGCTTTCTGATCATCATTCAAGGTGCTTCCTTCCACCACCTTTAGCCCTGAGGAATGGAGTTGATTCTCTATGGACAAACCTAAAACCGTGAGCTCCCAAATAAACTTTTCCTCTTCTAAAATTGTTCTTTTCAGGTCTTTTAATCACAGCAGTGAAAAAGCTGACAAAGCAGTATGTACTAAGTCTCATGACTTCAGATTTCTATGAAGAATCTGAAGATGGAAGGGAAGGCATCAAAAAGATACCCAATCCCATTGAGTAGAGTTCTTCCCATTGATCTTATATTTGAACTTCTTGACCAACAATCTTAACTGCCTGGTTTAGAGAAAGAAGTGAATGTTTTGACACATGAACTCCACAGTTGAACAACAACACTAGAGGAGGAGACAGTTAGAAATCAGAAACAGACTGTATCTTGCAGTCTGTCTCTTAGTTTTTGCTTTTACACATTCTTTACTTCACTATTGCCTGGCTTTTTCCCTGAGGTAAGAAAAGAAGCTGCATCATACAGATTCTTCCTCTGGGAAAGGACTAATTCTTCCTTGTTTACATTTTTAAAATATTTTCGGCAAGGAACAGTTATTGCCTGAGTTATTTGTTAGATTATGGAATAATGAAAGAAGCTATTAACTTCTCCAATAGTTGAATGAATGGATTGGTGCACTAGGAAACAACAGATGAAACAGTTCTCAGGTATATCTCTTGTTTTGCTTTCCTTTTTTTCCCAATAAATATACTCTTTGAAGTCTAAGACTGTTTTATGATGTGTTTCTGAATTCCCAGCCAGTAGCACACATAATTTCATTAGTTTTTGTCCTAAAATAGGCTGATTTTACTAAAAACAAGTTAGAAAAGGTGATTTTTAAACTTATGTTAAAATATGCTAGAATTTTGTAATTGCTTCATAAATACCTTTTCATATGTTTCATTTACATAACCTGAAAGATATTTAAAATTTTGAAAGAACAAGAAAATTTGTCTCCATATTGGCAGTTATCCATTGGAAAC